GGACAGAAGTAAGGGCAGAGGGGAGGGAGTCCAACCTCTCTGAGCCTGTTTTCTTATTTACGCAAGAGACAGTTAAATCGGCTGATCTCGAAGGTCTCCAGGGCCTTCCAGGATTTTAAGTGGTTGTCCATCTCCTGTTCCGATGTTTCCCATGGGAGCCTTGGAAACATCCAAGACCCTGCCTGGGCCTCTGTTGGCGGCGGGCTGGGAGCAGGAGCTTATGAGAGGTGATGAAGATGGGCCACTTGTGGCAGTGCTGAGAAGGGGGCAGGGACCCGCTGACCCCGCTGCTTATCTGTGTTTCTCCCTCAGTTTGACCCTGGGAACACAGGCTACATCAGCACGGGCAAGTTCCGCAGTCTCCTGGAGAGCCACAGCTCCAAGCTGGACCTGCACAAAAGGGAGGTGCTCCTGGCTCTCGCCGACAGCCATGCGGATGGGCAGATCTGCTACCAGGATTTTGTCAACCTGGTGAGCACTCTGGGGCCCTCGCCACTGGGTGGGGCCTGTTTGGGGGTTGTGGCTTAGAAGACCATTTTGGACAATTAAAGGGATCTGCTGGCCTGCAGCATTGAAAAAGTCCAGGCGTCAGCAGGTGAAAAGACATCGCCAAGGACCTAGTTTCTCTCTGTCTCTCAGTGCCTTCTGCAGTGTTAGCCCATACTGAGAGAAGCCCTTGGAAATTCCAGGCCCTCCCACGGTAGCAGCAACGTGGCTGCAGCTGTTCCAGCCCTCACATCCTCAGGCCTCACCATGAAGGGGAAGAAAGGGACTCTTACTGTGGTAGCTTCAGCACAAGGTTTGGGATTTCCTCCTTCCGACTGGCCTAGATTGGATCAGTGGAATGTGCTGATTGACTCAAACCAATCAGTGCCCACCTGTGGAGCTGGGAGTGGGGTCAGTTCTACCAAAACAAAGGGCTGGGAGAAGGAGGTGGGTGGTTATCTTTGGTAGGAGAGGAGCTGTGGTGTGGATGATGGGAGGGTCAGGCCAGACCTCCCCAGGGGCAATAGGGAACATGGGTTAAAGCCAGAGCTCAGCAGACCTGCTGGCCAATGTCCTGGGTTGTTGGAGGGGCTGGAGACAGGAGGCCTGTGAGTCCTGTCTAGTGGCTTAGTGTCTTCGAGTAGGGATTTTCTCCTCACTAGGGTTACTGCTGTGTTATTACAGGGATCATGTGGTAGGATTGGAATGGGGATCAATGGGGTTAAGCAGGAAGCATTTTACCTACCATGGGATGGCGGGAATATCAGTAGAAGCTGCATGAATCTACAGGATGAATACAAGGCTGGAAGTCTGCACTTGGTTTCCCTTTGGTGAAATAGAGACGGTCGCTTCTCTTCTCATCACCCATGGAGGGGGCGAGAATGAAATGACTGGTGTGAAGTTCTCTGGGCTCCTAGAATTCAAAACCTCAGCAACGGTGGAGCCGGTACCGCTGGTACCTGTCATTGTGCCAGTTGAGCTCTGATATGGATGCCCAGACTTTGGAATTGTTTTAATTGCCTCTTGGCTGAGGGCCTGCCTTTGCCCAGAGGTTAGCATGAGTACAGGGAGCAGCTGCAGGGCTTTAGGGGTGGAGGTTTCTACTACTGTTCAGAGTGGACCCAGGAAGCAGACCTCTGAGAGGACAAGGGACAGAGCTGAGCTAAGCTGGGGAACCGCGGGAATAGGGGGACAGTAGAGATTGATGGGGTGGGTGATGGAGGTGAGCCCTGTGACTTGGAGCCCAGTGGTGCCACCAAAGACCACGGATATGAGCCTGCATAGGCCCATCCACAGCACCAGCGCCAGCGTGTTTGCTGCATGTCCTGCTTAGTCTCAGGGCAGGGTGAGGGCATGGTTGGGCTCATGAGATGCTTTTCTCCAGCAAAAGGTCCATGGAGTCCTCTGTGTGAACTCACAACAGCAGGTTACTTGTTGCTGTTGGGATTTCTCTATTCAAGTCCTAAGCTGGAGTGGACTGTGAGTCCTTGAGAAAACTATTTGCCCTCTCAAAGCTCTGGTCCCCATCTTTATAACGTGGGGATAGCACTATGCATCAAATAACTAAGAGGGCATTCTCTTTTGCTGCTGTTCACACATCTGTCTCTCCTTGTAAGCTCTGTGAGGCCCAAGACTGTGGCTACTACTGTGCCCAGCACAGTTCTAGGCACAGCAAGGGTGCAGGTGAATGGTGAGTGTGTGTGTGTTCACCCTGCTTCTCCGGTACTCTTGCTGAGCCCGTCCCTGTCTTGGGTCTTCAGGGTGTGGCTGTGGGTGTGTCTGTGAGTAAGTGTGCAGTGCATGCCTCTGTACATGCTCACACTTGGGGATTGAGAGAGAGGATGGTAAGAGTGGCTACCAAATAACTTCCTGATATGATCCTGTCTTGGGCTCGGAGTGTACATGGAGCCCCAAGCTCTGCCTGTATTTACAGAACTTCCAAGCCACTAAGAGCCAGATCCAAGCGTCGTAGTTATGGAGGGGATGAGAATCGGGAATCTTTGGAAGGGGTTCATCTAGGAGGGCCTCCTGGGGCTGGAAGCCAGATTTTGAAGGTGAGAGATCACAGAACCCGGGAGGGGGAAAGGGCACCGCAGAGGGAGGCTCCACTGACCTGCTCTGAATCAGATCCTCCCCAGGTACCTGCCCCCTGACAGGGCTTTAAACCCCTGTGCCTTGGTCAGGCCTGGTTCGCCTGGCCAGCCCTCTCTGGACTCCTGCCTTCAGGTTTAGCCTGATGTCCACTTTTGAGCCCACAGTCCGAGGAATACTTTGATAATCCCCATGCAAGCTACTGTGGAACCGCCACTCGGGACACACTGTGGACTCCGGGGTTGGGAGAGCTATGTCTCTAGGACATCTCCCCATAAGGGTCTAGAATGTGGTCGTCGAGGCTAGGTAGGAAGCAATGGAAGCCCTGGGAGACCAGAAGTCAGCAAGGCTTCTTCTCATCTCTGGGAGCCAGCCTGTGTGCTGGACAAGGCAGCCAGGGCTCTCCTGAAGATGTGTCAGGGCCTCAGGCTGTGGAGGGTAGGCTCAGTCCTTACACGGGGCTCTGTGACCAGTCCCTGGGCTCACCAAGTGTTAAGGTCTCTTGAAGGCACTCGGGTGTGGTAACCGTCCGCAGGCACAGCTTTGGGTTCGGTCTGGTTCTGGGGATCTCTTTACAAACTCACTGAGGGCTGCCCACCTCTTCCCAAGCTAGCATTTATGATGATGCTAACTCCTGTTCATCCTTCAGTTCTCACTCAGATCTCACCTCTGAGAAAGCCCTCCCTGACCATCTCGGAACGAGGTTGGGCTCCCTCTCGTGTGCTGCTGCAGCAGCCTTCACTCTGAACCATGACTGCTGGTTACTTATCTGTCTTGAGCACCACTGTATCCCCTATGTCTGGCAATGTGCCTGACACTTAATAGTTGCTCAGGAAATTTCAGGAAATTGTGGTGGATGGGTGATGGATAGATGGATGGAAGGAAGGTATATCGAATACGAATACAGGCTCAGGAACCTTACTGAATCTGAACTTGATGGGTTCTTAAAACACTCTGTGGTTTGGTTTCCTCATTTAGTAGAATGAGGCTATTCATAGTCCTTATGTAACAGGGAGACTAGTTGTAGCAAATGAACCAACATGTGAAGTGCTTAGAACAACCCCTGACACATAAGACACATAAGTGAACGTTGCTTCTTGCGAACTATTACAGAAGAGAGGGACAGATGGGATTAGGCCTGGTTGGGTTAAGTATTGTGCTGGCTGGGAAATGGGTTGGGGCTCCCCTGAGACCCCGGTTCTGACCCTGTCCCCCACTCTGTTTCTTGTGCAGATGAGCAACAAGCGGTCCAACAGCTTCCGCCAGGCCATCCTGCAGGGGAACCGCAGGCTCTGCAGCAAGGCCCTGCTGGAGGAGAAAGGGCTGAACTTCTCACAGCGGCTGATCCGCCACGTGGCCTATGAGACCCTGCCCCGGGAGATTGACCGCAAGTGGTACTACGACAGTTACACCTGCTGCCCCCCGCCCTGGTTCATGATCACAGTCACACTACTGGAGGCAAGGACAAGCGTGGGGAAGGGGCGGTGCAGCCCGGAGGGGAGGGTGGGCCAAGAGGATATCTGAGATCATGAGGGGGAGGGCAGCGTCGTCACCACCACCAAAAGGCAATAGCTGAAGAGCAAACAGCAGTTGTCATTGCAATTCAGGCCCCAATACAGGGCATACGGTGCTGTTATCACCCCTGGACCACAAAGATACTCCAAACATTGTTACTTCAGGCAATATTCACTGCAGCAAAATCCCCATATGACCACCCCCACCAAAACAGCAGCAACAAAAACAGTGTAATAAGTTCGTTGATTTGGGGGATTTAGCCAGGCTAACTCACTAAAATCAATTTATCTTAGTTCCTCCCCAAGTGAGTAACATGGACAAGTCATTCTTTCCCCCGGGACTCCATCTTCCACCTGCGAAGCAGGAAGATCCTGTCCTGTCCTTCTCCCATAGGCCTCTTCTTGAGCAAGAGAATGGCTGGTGGTGCTTTCGGAACACAAAAGCATCACACAAATGCTTATGGGAGGGAGTGTTTATGAGCAGGTAAAGGTGGGCTTGACATATTTTGAAAGAACCTTCTCCCCTTAGGGAATCATTCAGACCAGTGTTATTCTAATAGTCTCCTGTTTATGCAACAGAATCCAAAGGTACCCCTTTCTGAATCAGGATCCATGTGTAAGGAACTCAGTTCCTTTGGCTGTTAAGCCCAAGAACCTGTGGGCCCCCCAACTTCAGCTCCTGAAAGGATGCTCAGCTTCTCTTTGGTGTTTTATAATCTCTACCATTTCTCTTCCAGAGCCACAGGGCTAATTAGCACCCCTGCATATGTTCTTGTAAAGTTCTTAATCAAACGGCAGGATCATTAAGCTTCATGGCATTCTTCTTCTTTTTTTCTAAATCAGAATAGCTGGTCTGCAGGCTAGAGCTCCTCTGTTTGTTGTTATGGCTTCATCCAAGTGTACATTGAAGTTGCGATTTTTCTGAGATATTCTTGGACTCGTTCTCCAAATGCTTACTGTGTTGGTCTATTTATTAACTTCGATTTGAAGACCAATAATAATGAGCTGCCTTGGAAGTTGTAATGTTGCCAGGCCACCTGCATCCTGTTAGGTGGACAGAATGGCACCCCAGAGAGCCCAGGGGAGTCCAGCAGCTGGGGGGCCTGAGCCATTTAACCCGACACTAATTACAGCTGTGTTCACGGAGGGCATGCCAGGGACCTGGCAGGCCTTCGCGTGTTTTATCTCTTTCAAAACTATGACTGCCCTGGAAGTGCAGGCATTCATGTCCCCATTTTCAGATGAGGAAATCAAGAATTGGAGAAGTCAAATAATTTGTCCAAGGTCATCCAGAGGAACCAGATTTTATGTCCAGCTTTGTTTCAAATTTCCAGAAACTTCAACTGAAATAACTGTTTCAAAGTCCTTGCACTAATGCTTAAAGCTTTTGTTTTATATACAGTTCTAGTAACTTGGTTTTCTGATTCCATAACAGAGAGAAAATAGAAGGGACATGGTGGAAAGTTATTAGAAGGGACCCAGTACTAGCCGGCGATAAAGAGTAGGAACCTGGTTACAGTACCTGTTTACAACCTGCTGACAACCTGGCTTTCCGGAAGAGGACAAAACAAAATTTAAAAGCAAACTTGAGTCTTAAAGAAACATAAGAATTTGGGGCCATTAAGTGTAAGAGCGAAAACCCCATCAATTGTTGGAGAAGACATCACTCTTATAGCCTAGATCAGTACCTGAGGCATCCTTAAAAGATTATATGTATACCCTGATTAAGAACACAGAGACATGAATGATGCATTATAGAAAGTTCCAGGGGGGAAAAAAAAAAAAGTTAAATCCCTTTAGCGCTTAAATGAGTATGTTTCAGTCATCTGCAAAATCTACTTATGTGGAGTGTTGGTGAGAATGCAGAGAAATTGGGACACTTGTGCACTATTGGCGGGAGTATAAAACAGTACAGCCACTATAGGAAACATTATAGAAGTTCCTTGGAAAATTAAACATGGAATTACCATATGATGCAGCAATTCCACCTCTGGGTGTATATATACCCAAAAAGAATCAAAAGCAGGAACTCAAAGAGATATTTGAACACCTATGTTCATAACAGCATTATTTATGGTAGCTAAAATGTAGAAGCTGCCCAGGTGTCCATCCGTGGATAAATATGCAGTCCACTGGATGGATAAGCAATATGTGGTTTGTACATGCAGTGGAATATTATTTATCCTTTAAAAAGAAGGAAATTCTGGTGCATGCTATAATACGGATAAACTTTGATGACTTCATGCTAAGTAAAATAAATTAGTCACAAAAGGATAAGACACTGTGTACCCAGAGTAGCCAGACTCACAGAGAATGGTGGTTTGCCAAGGACTGGGGGAAAGGGGAATGGGAAGCTCCTGTTTAGGGGGTACCAAGTGTCAGTTTTGCAAGATGAAAAGACTTCTGTGGGTAGATGATAGTTGCCCAATGATGCGAATGTACTTAATGCCACTGAGCTGTATACTTAAAACTGATTAAAATGGTAAATTTTATGTTATATATGTTTTACCACGGTTTTTGAAAATCAACTTATGTGGAATTGTTCATCCCCCAAATGGGTATGTGAATTATTACTGGAATGAAAGTTTAAACTCCTCCAAACTCTTCCTGCTTAGCACCAAGGAAGTGTGGGCAGAGACCATGTGACTTTTTTGTGAACATCTAACACAAAATCATCGAAGAGCAGTGGAGTAAGAGATGGCTGGGCTCTGGCCGTAGGGATGTCCCTCCTTCTCTGAGAAGGAAAGATGGCAACTTCTAGTAGGGGTTCCAAATGTTAGCGCAAGAGGGGTTCCTGGGCAGCTTTGCCCTTAGTGCTAGGCCCTTTCTGTTCTGTGCTTTCATCCAGGTTGCCTTTTTCCTCTACAATGGAGTGTCGCTGGATCAATTTGTGCTCCAGGTAACCCACCCACAGTACCTGAAGAACTCGCTGGTTTACCACCCACAGCTTCGAGCACAAGCTTGGCGTTACTTGACGTACATCTTCATGCATGCGGGGTGAGTACCTGTCTTCTTTCTCTCTATCATGTGTTCCTGTGGAAGAATAAGTGGCCCAGATGGCCTGGATTGAAGTATATTTTTTAGTTTATTTTATCTACCTGGATACAAGATTTGAGGTGGTTTCTTGAAACTCAACTAATACCAAAATATGTGAGTTAATTATTGAGAGTGTATGGGAAAGGGAGAAAAACGCTAAAATTCTGCAGTGAGATCAGCACAAACACATATAACATTTGAGTCTGTGTACTTGTTAGAGGCGGGTTAGAAACTTGCTCCAAGATTCCCAGTGGCCAAAGCAAAGAGGAAAATGCGGTCACCTACTAAGTTCACTGTTCGTAAATTGTGTGTGTGCGTGTCTCCAAAAGTGAAATAAAGGACAGATTTATTGAAACTGCCTTCCGCCCAAGGTGCTTTCCATATATGGTGAGAGTCTTCTTGAGAATTCTGGCAATACTTACAGTTTCTGTTTACAGAGCCATGTGGCCTTTTTCAGGGCTGGAATGCAATTAGTTTTCACTGGTGTTTCTTACCTCAGTGAAAATAATAAGGCCAGGTGCCCACCCAGGCCCAAGTCTCTTGAAGAGCACTATCTTGGTTAGAGATCATTTTTATGCAGTGGAAGTGCTGAGTTTGGAAAGCAGAGTCCCTGGACACCAGGCCACTATGGTGTCTTCTGCAGCCTCTCTAGGGAGAGAAACAAAGGAGCTACTGTTAGTCTGGAAAAGCATCAGGGGATGACTGTCCCTGGAGTTGGAAATGAGAAGAGGATCACTCTGACCTCATGGTTCTATCAGTTTTGTTTCTTGGCAGAAAGCCCCACAGTGGCCAGGAGGGAGCCCCACTGTGAGCCTCCCTTCTTCCTGAGCTTCTGAAACAGCACAAATACCAATCCTTAATTGGCTGCACCAGCTGGGTGGGGGCTTTGGGGTGAGGAGACATTTTGATCGTGTCCGATGGATGTCTCCACTCTGAACCAGAGGGAACTGTTGGCACAGACTGTTTGCCTTGCCTGCTGTGTCCCAGACTTTGATCTTGCAGGGCTAAGGAGCAGGGTGAGTGAGACATGTCATGCATCTTTCTTTTCATGAGCTACGAGATGGAGACAACAGGAAGCAGGGGGCTTCTTTGCCCGGGCTACCTACCTAATTGGCAAGACTGCCCTCTGGCCTTTTCTGATCCCTTAGAGTGAGGAGAATGGACAAAGTCTCTAAGGTCTCCTTGTCCATTTTCTGCCTCCAAGAGCTGAAAGCCAGGAGTGGCCAGGGCACAGGTGCCCTCAGCTGAGGCCCAGAGTGGTGGCCTTGGGTCTTTTTCTGGCCACTGCTTCTAATGGAGCCATGCCTGTCAGGGAGAGCCCTGGAAGGATTCTTCAGGCCTGTGATTTTGAGGAAGGGGTTTTTGGCTGGTGCTGGTATAGGCGGGAGATAAGGACAGCTGGCCAGCACCTAGGGAAAGCCCAGCAGGTGACCTGTTACTCAGGGACACACTTGGCCTGTGAATTCAGAAGTCACTGTGCTAGAGAAGAAAAGGCTTGGTTTGGGAAACAGGGGCTCTGGGCTCCCCTCACTTGACCTTTTCTAGGCAGGTTCTAGACTGTAAATCAGGGAGACAGGACTAAAAAACTTCTGAGGTCTCTCTGACTATGAGTCTGATGCAACCACCCAGCTCCTTTTCAGTGAATTTTTTAGACATTTATGATCTAGAATCCTTTAGCTGACATAGTCAGGGGGGCCTAGAAGATTTCAGACATGGTGGGAATTTGGGACAGACCCTGATATGAAACATGAGCTACCTCACAGGAGCCCTCCTAGGTAAGCAGGTGCCCACATACACGGCAGAGCAGTTGGCCTCCAGGCCAGGTCCCCAGGGAGCTGTCTAGCTGCTGTAAGGTGCTTTGTAAACTAGAAAGCACACATCCATGTAATAATAGTAATGTTACAATCTTTTCTAGTAACATATACACTCAGCTAGACACCATTTAGCAACAAGATCTGGTCACAAGCATGTGATAGCATAAAAAGGAAGGCATTCACAGGGTAAGAAAATCCAACCCTGAGAGTTTGAGAGTAGAATGGGTCCTTTCTCACACTAGGAGGGAGAAGCCTCCCCTATGAGATTTTAAGCGACAACTTTGAATTATTAAGTTCTAAGAGACATTTCTAATGCCTGCACTTGTTTTGAAAACATTTTTCTCTTTAAATATCAGTATCTCTTGGATGTGGTTCCATAGTGTAGCGGTTAGCATGTCTGTTTTACATGTAGAAGGTCCTGGGTTCATGCCCCAGTGGAGCCACGGTCCATGGTCTACAGCCATGCCACCCTGAACAAGCCCGATATCTGATCTCAGAAGCTAACCAGGGTCGGGCCTGGTTAGTACTTGGATGGGAGATTACCTAGGAAGACCAGGTACTGTAGGCATAAATAATAATAAATAATAAATAAATAAATAAAATAAAATAAAAATAAATATCAGAAACAAGAACAAGCCAGAGAGCCCTCGTGGCCTGGTGAATGGATCTGGTCCTGCACATCGGAGACCTGGTCTGTGATCGCAGCCTGGCCACTAACCAGTTGTGTGACTCTAAGCTAGTCAGTGGCCTCTCTGAGCCTTGGCTTTTCATGTGTCAACCACTGGAGCTACTGGATCTTGACTGTGGTTAGCCCCTCTTACTATGGCAAGTACAGACACCGCCAGTTACTGCCCAGGCCCTGCACATGTGTTCCTGTCTCAAGTGGCAGGGAAGATTTGGAGATGATCTGTCTGCATTGTAATTGCTGCCCCCCTCCCCTATCTGTAACCATGAGCTCCTCAAAAGCAGGTATAGGGTCTTGTTCACTACTGTATTCCCAGGACCTTGACATATAGTGTTCATTGATGAATGAATGAATGAATGAATGAATGAATGAATGAATGAATGAATAGACTATGGTCTCTCTGTACAGGATAGAACACCTGGGACTCAACGTGGTGCTGCAGCTCCTGGTGGGGGTGCCCTTGGAGATGGTGCATGGAGCAACCCGCATTGGGCTTGTCTATGTGGCCGGAGTTGTGGCAGGTAGGCAGGTGGGCCCCAAGTTCATAGGGGAAACCTCCCCAGGGTGGCTGGGAATCCCCATGGGGTCGGGAAAGTCTCAGGCTTCTAGGAGACCCAGGACCTTCATCACCGAGGCTCCTGACTACTAGGGTTTTCCTCCAGACAAATCTCCCCATCTCTCCTGGGAGGCTAGAAAGGGAACTGCCACCCAGAGAGGGAGGCATGCGATGACAAAGGGAAGGAGTGCACAACAAGATTTGAAATAGGCAGACTGACTGGGAGGCATGCGATGACAAAGGGAAGGAGTGCACAAGATTTGAAATAGGCAGACTGACCAGACTTCCAGACTTTCCACCATCATGTTGTAGCTGTGTGAGCTTGAGGAAATGCCTTAACTTCTCTTGGCCCCATTAAACTTTAAGGGGGAACTAGTAAGACCTGAGGTGACAAATAGAGTAACAGTGTTATGTAAACTGCAGGGGCACAGTGAGATTCCTGTGGGGACATCCAGGGTATGAGTTAAGCCAAGTACCTCTCTGGCCAGGCCAGCCACTGTCCCCTTGATTGACCCATTGCTGATAGGAGAGTGTCTGGTTTAGGAAGTAGTGAGCACTCATGCCGACTGGAGGAGTCTAGGACCCCCTGCTGACTTGGCTCACGTGGCAGGTGATCGATCATAGCCTTGGGGACAGTAGCAATGTGACTTCTCTTTTCCCCTCCCCAGTGGGGGGGTGAAGGTCTGGGGTGAGCTGGGGAGAGCAGAGCAGATTTTTGCAGGAAAGACCTGCACCAGCCAGGCTTCCGAACAGAGGGATCTCCCTCGTGATGTTTCCAACTTTGTTGCTGGATTTTTTTTTTTAAACAAGGTTTGCCGCCTCAGCTCTTCACCTTGACAGCTGTGCCCAAGGGAGCTTTGTGTGTATGTTTAAGTAAGATCTTAATCCTTTCTGAGTGGCATTAAAGTTGTCATTAGGAGAGTGGGGCAGCGTAAGCCTTGTAAACAACAGGCACGCAAGGACCCTGGGAATAACTGAAGTGACTTCAGGAATCGAAAGGGGAAGGGTCCCACCCCATGTCTGCAAGGCTGGTCTGCTAGTTTGTGAACGCTCAGCCTAGGCGATTGGTTCGGAGCTGCCTCTTTCACTCCTCTATGTGCTGGGGTTAAAAACTTGGCCACTTTGGACAGCACCCATGCCAGCTTCTCCCAGAATCTAGCACCTTCCACATCCTCGAACAGAGGTCCTATGAACATCTCTGTGTGCCAGACCCACTCAGCCACCCACACACCCCAGGCCTTGACATCTGGGGATTTATAGCCACATTTTCCATACCTAGATAGAGACCCAGATGGTTAATGGCAAGGAACAGGAAATACACCCGTAACACTTGCAGTTAGTAGTCAATTAGATGGGAGTGCCAATAACCCAGAAGACAGAAATAAGATTCAAAATGACTCAGGCCTCAGCAAAACCAGATGACACACAGCGGGGAGACAGTGCAGGTATCATTCCCAGTGATACTAGTGCAGAGTGGGATGGTGCCCAGACAGAAGGGCGGGCTTGCCAACTAAACACAAGGGTGTGGGGCTGAATTGCAAAGCAAATGATGTACACTATTTTGTCTGAGTCATTGATTCAGACCTGAGGACACCCTGGTCACAACATATCATGTTATTTATCTCCAGGATTGGGTTGACTGATCCACTTGTACCTCTTCCTCCCTCTCTGCTCAGAAAGGGAGCCTGTTGACAGACAGCCAGACCCTGACTGGATAGCCAGTAGTTATCAAGTGCCTGCCCTGTGCAGGCCATGTTTAATCCTCACAGCAGCTCCATAAGGCAGTACTATTACTCTCTGCCTGTTACAGATACAGAAACTGAGGCTTAGAGAGCCTAAGGGACTTGCCCAAGAAGACACAGTTGGAAGTGGTGGAGCTGGGCTCAAACCCAGGCTGTCTGACCCCAGAGGCTGTGCTCTAAATTACTACCATGTTAAGAGAATTAAAAGGCAAGCCTCTTCCTTTGCGCAGATGATTTGTTGTCAGAAGCCAAGGGCGGTCTTAACATTGAGTCCTGCTCTTTAATTCCTGCCCAATGAAAATATTCCAAATCCAAGGCCATCACATTTTGTAACAATGACAGCTAACCTCTGCTCAGCACGTCGGGTACTCGGAGCATGCAGTAAGGGTTCACATGTGCTATCTGCTGTATTCATTACAACCATCTTATGAAGTGGGTACTATCACTCTCGCTTTACAGACCATTCAGAGCAGTGAAACAACTTGTTCAGTTTGCTCAGCTAAGAAACACTAGGCCTGGAGTAGAAGCCATTCCTCTGCCCTGTGCTTTTAACCAGTGCTGGAGGCCAATATGAATTTTACTTCTGACTAACAATTGTATGGCTAACCATTTAAATACTTTAAAAACCAGTATCTTAAATGGCCCACCAAGCCTTTATTATAGATTATACAGATCATAAGGCACATGTGCATCCCCAGAGCCTAACTCAGAGTTTGGCACATGTTAAGCTACAAATATTTGTAGAATAAATGAAAGAATACATAAATAAAGTTACATTGCTTAAAGGAAGAGAGAGGTCCTGCTGCTTTTTATTTGTATTTTTTTAAGGGTCAAGAGAGATGTTGGAGAACACTTGCTTAAATTGTCCAGGGTAAAATTATCATAGCTGTGCATTACAGGAAAGTCCCTAATTTATCCACATGCTAGCGTGGACCCTGAATTTTGGAGGGAGAATTCATAGCCTTGACTAGAACTATCCCTTTGGCCTGCTACTGTGCCATTCTCTCGTCATTCTCTGCTACTATGACCTCCACAGAATCAGTATTGGTCTTATTGAACTGTCATCCACTACGTTCATACAGCTTTTTAGGGATCCTGCCTGGTCCAGGCTTTCTGCCTTGGGCTGGCCTTTATTACTGTGTTGATATGCATACATACCATGTTTGTATTTGATCTTTCCTAGTTCTTCTAGTGCAAGGCTCATCTTCAGTCACTTGAGTAAAGTCTTTATGCCACAAAGGGGAGAGCAGACCGAGATCTGAGGCCAAGACTCGGAATATTAAATTTCTGATCTGGAAGGGACCCTTGAAGTCCTCTCCAGTGGGTGGCAAACTATGTTCCCCAGGCCCCTACCCCATTCAGCCAGAGCAGCAATCAGGCTCTCTGTATGCTGTTCTGTGGGGTAGGGTCTGGGTAAGATGTCCTTTGAAAAAAGGATTTCACTGCTCAAAAGTTGGAAAGCCTTAGACTTCCTCATTTCACAGATGTGAAAACTGAAGCCCAGAGAATTCAGGGGCTGTGCCCAAGGTTACACAACTAGCCGGCCATACCCTCATTCCATACTTCTGCCACAATCCCAGGCTGACCCCTCATCCTGGGGTCAGTACTCTAACCCAGATCCATGCGTCGGGTGAGGGAAAGGTCAGTGTGTGGCGGCTGGACCCTGGAGACACCCCTGATGCCTCTGCCCATGGTAGACCATACTGGGGAGGCCAAGGGAGCAGAATCTGGGCTGGTTTGTAGGAACTTGTGCTGAGGAAAGAGGCCAGCCCAGGGAGCTGGGGCTTCCTCTGTCCCAAAGGTAATTAATGAGGAGCAAGCAGTTTGGGCAGCCAGCCCTCGCTGCTGTGCAATGCAGCCTTCTCAGCCAGCTCACCAGGAGAGCGTGGGAATCCTTTGTCATGCAGATCCCACTGCTGACTGTTTGCCACCCTGGGATTTTTTTTTTCCCTGTTATATATGGTTGACCCCGTGACTAAGCAGTAAAAAAAAAAAAAGAAAGAAAGAAAAGAAAAAGAAAGGAAAGAAAGAGTTATCTGACAATAGATCAATACCTAATTTAAGCCAGAGGGAAGGCATGAAAGGGGAGAAGAGAGATTTATAGTTGCCCTGGGAGGGCAGAAGGACTTGGGAGTTCTCAGTTGATAGTTTGCTCTTTCCTGGGAAATTACATCCCCCCTGAGACCAAAGAATCTGTTGTGGGGATCTCTTCCTTGAAGGATCTCAGTGAGCTGAGGAGCCTTGAGAGAGGTGTGACAGGTATGCAGTGAGAAAGCAAATGATATTACAGGGGCTCTCCATACCCAGGGCGTCAGGTGTTCTGGTTCCTGGACTGGATTCAGCCACCTCCTAAGTAGCAGACCCTCCATCCCTAAAGAACCTGCAGAATTTGGCCTTCTGCCTGTCCCTCATCTTTGCAGCCAGGCAGCAGCTAATTGGCTCATGAGCCTGCAGGCATTTTCCAGTGGTGATTTCTGCACACTCACCCAGGCCAGCCACCTCTCATCCTCTGAGCCCTGGGCTCTACCTCCCAGTTATTTTTAGTCTCCTATGTCCTTCCCTGGAAGCCAAAGCATTGATCACACTTAAATGAGACCAGAACAATACATTTCCCATCTCCTCTCTGCCCAGCTTTCCTCCCACTACAAAAGTTTATTGTCCCCCAGACCAGGAGTCTGTACCCTTCTTTCCCCCAGAGGGTATGACATCACTCTCTCTCTTCCTGGGGACTTTTCAAGGACATTTTTCCTCCAAAGTAGCCCCATTTGCTCATGAGATCCTGTTGGCCTTTGTGATTTCACTCGGCTGGAGGAAGGTTGGAGGCGATTTAAGCAGGTTTCTAGATGCTGCTGAGCAGAGAGAGCGAAAGTAGAGAGCGGAGGTTGACTTCTTTACCAGTTTGGGTAATGGCTGCTGTTGCGGCCAAGAGCATAAGTTTTGTGTCAAGCAGACTTGAACTCCAATCTGGGTTCCAGCATTTCCTACCAGCTGACTCTGGGCTCAGTCTCTTTATCTCTGCAATGAGGCTACTAGTACCTTTCTCAAAGGGTTGTCTTGAGGGTTAAAAGGGAGAATGTATGTAAAATGCTTGGCCAGTGTCTGACACACGGTGCCCTATAAATGGTAGCTGTTTCTGCAACAAAGTTTGTTAGTGCTCCAGAGCCCTGAGATGGCACATCGTGAGGCAGAGGTTGGATTGAGAAGCAGATGCTCCCTTTCCCCCACTGAATATTTGTTCTCCATCTGTAAAAGGAGAAGTTTGAATTAAATGGTTCTTCCAGCTGTAAATTAATCCTCTAGGAGGCTCCAAGGAGACATGGGATCAAGGGAGGAAGAGACTTCTGCTCTGGGGTCTTACCCCTGAGGCTGCAGCATCTGAGGGCCTGGGGCTGGGATGAGGACCCGCTTCCAGAATTATTGAATCCTCTCTCTGTCTGTTCCCAGGATCCTTGGCAGTGTCTGTGGCTGACATGACCGCGCCGGTTGTGGGCTCCTCTGGAGGGGTGTATGCACTTGTCTCTGCCCATCTGGCTAACATCGTGATGGTGAGTGCCTCCTGTCCCAGCATGCCATTCTTGGCCTCCCCTCTGCCATCACTGGGCCTACGTGTTAATCGGCTAGAACTAGGTTTTGGATCCTCATCCACGCTCCAGCCCAGGCCCAGCAGGCACCAGGCAGACCTGGCTTCTAGCAGAGTTCACAGACACTGCTCACCCTCTGTAGGCCCACTGCAAATGGAGCCCCTCCATATATGATTCATATTTTATCCAGTCATGGCTTTGCCTACGAATTAGCCCATCTCCCTATTCTACCTCTTTCCCACTTGGCAACTTTAAAAAGTGCTAAAATTCTTGACCACTAGCACACATCATAATTGTAATTCTTTGTCATAGATTGTTAAAAATAAAGGGACCTTAAAGATTATTGCATTGAAATTGTCGAATCGGAAAGAAGGCTCTGAGAGGTTAAGTGATTTGTCCAAAGGCTCAGTCAAGTGTGTGGCAAAATTGAGACTTGAACCCACATTGCCTGAAAACCATTCAAATGTTATTCCCTTATACCAGCTTGTCACAGTGGTGGGACACCACTGTTTCTTTTCTCACGCTCTTCTTTGCCTTTTCCTGAAAGGCCAGATAGTATAAGGGTTAGGAGCGTGGCCTGTGGAGCCAGTTAGCCTAGATTTGAATCCCAGCAACTCACTTCCTGAAGAGTGACCTTGGGCAAGTGACTTAACTACTTTGTGCCTGTTTCTACGTCTGTGAAATAGGATGATATGCGATAAATGAGATAAAGTGAAACTAATCATTCATTATAAGTATTAACTTAATTCTCTGATCCTTGCAGAAGAGACCGTGGTGGACTGCGAATAGACAGGATCTTTAAGGAAAGAAATTAGAATTAATCTGCTAGTGTCGTGTCGAAGGTGGTGAGGGGAAAACTACTTTTTTGTTTTACAGGTAGTCCAAAGTTTGGAGGCCAAAGGAGGAGTCACTAGCAGTGCTTGTCTAACTCCGGCTAATGCCCCTGCTGGCCAGGAGCCTCCAGGCAGGGCCTAGGTCTTCCTCATCTGTTTCCCAAGTGCCTGGCATAGGGCTGGACACGGTAGATGGTGCCCACTAAGTTTTGGTTGATAAAGGAAGGACTCAATGAATGAACAATGTCGGGAAAAGGCAGAGCTTCTCTCTGGGGTCCTATCGCGCTCGCCTCCCTCCTCCATCACCGTCTGCACCTCGTGGCAGATGTGTGAATACTCAGTTACAAACAGTTTTTGGAGTAACTAAATTCTCCCATTTCATCTTTGTTATTGCCACTCTCACCTGCCCTGCTCCTTAACACCATTCCTTTTCTTTTCACCGAAGCCCCTTTATATATTGAAAGAGAGAGGAAGAGAGAGAGAAAAGGAAGAGAGGGGCAGAGAGACCGTCAGGCACTGACTACACTTGCTACTTGCCTGAATTTTGGCAACTTCAAATGAGCACTTAGAGAACGACAGCAGGTTTGGGCCAGCCTGTGTGCATATGCGAGTCTGAGTGTGTGTGCGTGTGTGTGTACGCGCGTGTGCACACGCACACACACACACACACACACGGCTTGGTCTGCTGAGAACCTGGGAGCACAGGGCTGCCTCACATGGCCCTCTTAAATGGGTCATTCTGTATCAGTGCCACTGCTTTCCCCAGACACAGCTTTTCCTCTGAATTTCTACTGCTCCACTCCCCCCTCCCCCTGCCCCAATTCCTGCTTAATGACCCCCCTCCTTTCCCCCCTAAGATGTGTCTGTGTGTAAGGAGGTGAACAAGCACAACCAAGAGAACATGGGAAAGAGGAAACAAACAGAAGTTCATAAAGATGCCTGTTTCCACCCCCTTCCCCACCATGTGGGGCACAGCCCTGATGCCCCAGGAGTTCCCATGGTGAGGGCAGACCACCCCAAGAACCGTGGGCTGGGGCACGGGGTTGAGGAGGGAGGTGCGAAAGCACTTTTGTTCCAGCTTACGCTTTTTTCTGGCACGTAGCCCATGCCTGTGGCAGTGGTGATGAGCAGTCCCACCCGAGAGCCCATGGCCCTTCCAGAAGGATTCAGCTTTCCCTGGCCCACTGGGAGCTTTGCAGTCCCCAGAGCATGGCATATGGTAGCTTTTCCCTCGGAAGTTGTATAGTGCCTATTTGACAAGGAAAAAAATACTTACTTTTCTCATTAAAAAAAAAGGTTGATTTCTTTTTATCAAGAGGCCACCTTTATCCAAATTAATTCCATGCCCAGCAGTTCAGAGATGCATTGGGTCAAGCCATATGAAATTGCCGGTTCCGTGAGTCAGGAGCATTTAAACACTGGCAATTTCATAGAGTTCAACTGAATAGATATACTGTTGATTTTAATTCCAAAATATGATTGGTCGGTATCTGTGTACACAATAAAACACCTTGTCAGAACAAAAAGGAGAAAAAGTGTAGACCAGGAGCTCTGGATTTGAGTACTAGCATCACCATTTTTATAGCTGCGAGCTCCCTAACTTCTCAGAGCCTTAATTCTCTCATCTGTAATACAAGGTAGTTGTGAGAAAGACATGAAAGAAAAATGGATATGAAAATGTTTTCTCTGTGGCGAATCACCATATAGCTGAGAGATACTGTATATGTGTTTCTGTGTGTATATATTTATATATATTTGTATACGTGTAATTTTTTATCTTTATAAATTCTGCCTTATATCTCCACAGAGAATAACCAGAAAATGTGTCCTTTTTCTCTAGATACATAATAGAAAAATGTTTAACAGTTCTGTTCTCAGTCTGTCTGTTTAAATGAGCAATTCTGCTTTAAAGTATGTCTTATTTTTCATAAAAATACTTCGCGTTTCAAAAAGTTTTCAGTTTACATCAAAGGATTAAATTCAGAAACTATTTCAACAAAAGATCTAGATGGCATAAAAGACCTAAAACCAAGACTTCTTATCTTATAAACACTGGAAAAATGAAGATATACATAACTGAATAATTTATTCATTGTCATTTGCTGGGCTAGATTTTCATTTTTAAATATACAAGACATTTACTCAGATTTTGCTCCATATGATAGGTGTTTTCCTAAAATGTTTGAGATCTGAATTTTTGCTAATGGAACCATATTGTCAAAGGAAAGAATATCGTCCAAAAGACACAAAAGATTCCTATGTTATAAGGTTCGCTTTATTAAGTAAAAATCCTTTTGTAGGACAAATAATTACTCCTTAATTTATCTGTATTATGCTTTCCTATTTTCCGTGTTGGGTTTTCTTGAAGTCGTTTGACAAGGAACTGTTTCTACCTGAGATATGTAAAGCTGTGTTGGAATGGAAGCTCCCTGCCTGGGTTTCAGCCTCTGAGCTCTTAACTGGTTGGGTGAGCAAGATTCCTAGGGGACTGGCTACTGCCTTGTTTGCCCTAGGTGAGTTACTATCTCACCCTAAGAGGCTCTGGGAGAAAATGAAATTAAGGGCCCTTCAGGCTTTTCAACATTTACAGCAGCAGCAGTGCTGTCTGTGTGCGAGACTTTTGTCTTCTTTCCTGTTTAACTGCACTCATTTTGTTGGAGGGAATAATGGATCGGGAATATGAGGCAGCTGGTGGTAAAGGTGACTTTCTAATTTAACCTTTCAACCGTTTGGGACACTGGCAATTTATTGGTAGTGGTTCAGTTTGGGGGCAGGGCGCAGCTGGGGCATCCAGCAAGGACAGACAGCACAGACGGACAGAACAGGACCCTGTCCCAGAAGTGTGGGCAGGCAGAGCCCTGGCCTGGGAATTATCAGTCTCGCCAATAACTCACTGTGACCTAGAACTAGCCCTCCTGCACCCTCAGTTTCTTCTTCCTGAAAATGCAGGACAGAGGGTGTGACCGGATCCGCTTGGCAAGCTCCCATGCCTTTAGGGGCCAGGCAGGTATTATAAATGAAATTGGCCTGGGAGCACTGCGGCAAAACCGTTGGAGCTCCCAGATATGTCCAAAGTCATTGTCTTTCAAAAGTTTTAAAGCAGCTGAGCAAGGCAAACTCACTGTCTTTGCCTCAGATCTAGACACTAATGTCAGACATTTATACAATGTGCTGGTCAGTGTTCTTCGTGCTTTATATGTATTAATTTTACCTTCACAACAACCCGGTGAGGTTATTAATTGAGATAGGCACTATTGTTGTCTCAAATTTACAAATGAGGACACTGGAGAAGAAATGAGTTCTAAGCCACAATGGTCTTGCCAGACCAAAATTATGGATGGTGCTTTCTAAGACAGATCGCAGATGGGATGAGAGGCAACTTGGGCCTCAGCTGATAGAGAGAGCAGCCAATACATTCTAGAATTACTTTGCCTGATATTATCACTCAGAACTCAGTGAATGAGACACCATGTTCAGGTAAGATATTCAGAGGATTTTTACAAGGAAAGGGATGTTAGAAGTGTTCTGAATCACTTTTGTTTTTAATTGTGGTAAATAAACATATCATGATTTAACCTTAACCATGTTAAGTGTACAATTCAGTAGTGCTAAGTACAGTCACATCATTGTGCAACCATCACCACCATCCACCCACATAACCCTTTTCATCTTACAAAACTGAAACTCTATACCTATAAAACACTAACTCCCCATTTCTCCCTTTCCCTAGTCCCTAGCAATCACTATTCTACTTTCTGTTTCTATGAATTTGACTACTCTAGGTACCTCATAAGTGGAATCATACAGTGTTTGTCCTTTTGTGACTGGCTTATTACATTATCTTAAGGTTCATTCATGTAGCATGTGTCAGAATTTCCTTCCTTTTTAAGGCTGAGTAATATTTCATTGTATGGCTATACCACATTTTGTTTATCCATTTATTTGTCAGGAGGCACTTGGGTGGCTTCCACTTTTGGGCTGTTTTGAATAATACTGCTATGAACGTGGGTGTCACTTTTAAGTAAGAATTAAGACCCCTGCATGGACATCACAGGAAGGCAAAACCTGACCGTAAGTGGCAGGAAGTGATTAGAGAGCCTCTGTGATTAGAGAGCCTCTTCACAGGCCTACCTCAGGAGGTAGTAAGCTCCATGTTGCAGGGGCTGAAGGGCCATTTTGTCAGCGGCTTGGCAGAGGGTGTCCCCTTTGGAAGGAGATGGTCCATCAGGTGGCTCCCAAGGACCTACCCACCTTTGGGTTTCAGCCTGGAAAGGAGTTGAGGAGCCGCTCGCCACTGGCTAACTGAGCCAGCTCAGAATGGGTTGTCAGATCGGGCGGAGGGCACAAACTCCCATTTTGTTCCCTGTCTCCTGGCAAAGCTCCTCTGTGGGCAGACACCAGCAGGTGACAACGCTGTCCTGCCATCTGCTTCTTAGCCCAGAACATGTCAGTGAGCAAAGATTAGACGTCTCCATCTAAAGAGGGGCCGTGTGGTGTCTACCTCGCCTTTTGTGAAGAAGGGCTTGCCGGTCAGTGAGAAATAATGGGGGAAAGGGAGGCCATGGGCAAGAAGCCCAACGCCGCAGAATTTCTCCCTCTTTTTGGCAGCTTCCCTGCATCCTATTGCTCCACTGAAGCTTCTACAGACGTTATTGTATGTGCCAGTGTTCAGGGCCTCTGTAAAGTTTAACACATGTGTCCCCCAATGTCAAAGGAGTGTGAGACATGCCCCCCAGCTGGGCCTGGGCCAGGCGGCAGCGGCAGAGCAGGTGGGTGGAAGGGAACAGGAGCCCCTGGCTATACCCAGTTTGCTTCCTTCCCTAGGACTGATGTGTTCCTGGAGGATTCCAGGCTAATTTCTATGTGCGCCTGTGCACTGCACATGTATGCAGCGGTGTAAATGGAGTAGAGCTTTGAATGCACTGCAGGAGTGCCCCTCAAAGGAGCCCTGTGGTGAGGTCTTTTGTAAAGTGAAAAATCCTTTTGTAAGGTGAATAATTGTACTCTGTTCATCTGCTTTGGAGGTTCAGAGTGTTCAGAGATTCTCAAGGAAAGAAATTTGTTTGAAGGCCATGTGGCCCACCCCTCTTCCAATGCCCAATTCTAGTGCATCCCCTCCAAGTGATGCAAAGCCCTGTTTGAACCCCTCAGTGCTGGGAAACTCACCATCCCTCAAGATGGATCTTTCCATTTTAGGCAGCTCTGCTTAATAGAAATGGAAACTTAATTTGAGCTAAAAAAAAAAATCTGTCTCTGAGTTTTCATCCATCGAGTCTTCTGCTTGCAGGTTACACTGAATGTGCCCTTTCCTTGTGTTGACTCACCTCACATTTGACAACGGTGAACTTGACCCCTGAATCTTCTCTTCATTCGTTCCTCACATGCAGGATTTTGAGTTCTTTTATCATCCAGATGATTCTGCTTTGACTTTGCTTGGTTTGTTGTCCTGCATCCCTTTGCAACCGTGGGACCCAGCAATTACGGTAACTCTCAGGTGTTGTCTGGGCATGTAGAGGAGAGAGGACTCTCATCTCCTTCGATCTAGGTTCTCTTCCTCTGTTAGTGCAGCTCAGGAGCTTTTTGACAGTAATGAACTTAACCATCGCCCAAAGTCTCAAAGCCATGCTGGTGTGATCTGAGACTTAGCCACAATCCCCTCCTTCAGGACTTAATAAAGATTATTTTTTCAAATGTCAGATTTTCTTAAGTGAGGTTTACCTGCAGTGGAGTGGCCTGATCTAGAACTAATGGAACTCTCTCCTTTTTTCCTAGAACTGGTCAGGCATGAAGTGCCAATTCAAGCTACTGAGGATGGCTGTGGCCTTGATCTGTAGTAAGTACTGACGGGGAAAGGGAGCCCTGCACTGGGCCTGGGGGATGTGAGGATGGCGTAGTCCCTGCCCTTCAGGGATTTGTGGTCAAGAAGAAAAGGGAGCCGTATCAATAATGCGCAACAAAGTGGGGATGTTATGAAAGAAGTCTGACTCACTCTGCTACTTCTTAACTTTTTTTTTTGACTTTTTATTGACATATAATATGCAAACAGAAAAGTACCCACAGGGTAAGTGTCCAGCTCAATGACTAGCACCCAGATCAAGAAAAATAACTTCTTAATAACCTTTTGGGTCATGGAGTTGATCCTTTGAGATCTGATGGAAGCTAGAGGCCCCTTCCTCAGCAACATGCGTGTGTGCACACACCACGTACGTGTGCACACACACACACATTGATACTTGTAGTTTTAGCAGGTTTACAAAACATAACTAATCCACAAACCCCCTACAACAGAGTGTCATAGGGGCCCTATTCAGAGGTCAGTTCTACCTGCAGAGGTCATGTTGAGTGTTTAAGACAGGCAGGTGTTCACCATGTAGATAAGGTGCAAGAGGGCATTTCGGGTGAAGGTTCAGCATTAACAAGCATGTGGATAGGTAAAGGGTCCCAGCTGGCAAGTCACTTAGCAAAGCCGACCTATGAAGTTTGGGACTGTGTGATTGTGATAAGAGATAATAGGAGTCATGACGATCATGAAAGCCTTGACATGCTAACACTAAGAGAAAGATTGGACTGCACCGTGAATGCACTGAAAGGCCACCAGAGGGCTTTAAACAAGAGAGTTAATGATAGATTTGAGTTTTAGGAGAGCAGTGGAGGAGTTGAGAGTGAGCCGATGAGACCAGAGGCCAAGAGGCTCATTCTGAGATAGAAAGAGACCATCATCTGCACAGACATGAAGGAGGTAGGAAGAGAGAAGGAGCACACAGTCTCTCATTCATTCCTCAGAACGCAGCTGTGAAGGCTTAAGTTACAGGTAGGCACTCAAGATTCAGAGAGTTAAAGTTCCTTTCCCAGGGTCACCCAGCTAGAGGTGATAGAGCCAGGATTCATAGCCAGCCTATGCCATTTCTAATGTCCCACACTTTAGCCAGGCTAGGCAGGAGCACCTTGACTGTCTCTGCCTGGGTAAGCTGCCTCTGACATGGGGAAGAGGAAGACTGAGCCAGAACAAGCATGGGTTGGGGGGGCCGTGGCTGAGCTCCACTTTAATCCACTTGAACATCCCTTGCCTCGTACCGCATGGCTTTCAGGACTCTCTGGTCTTAGTTTCCTGGACGGGGTTGCAGGATCTCTACTTCTAGAGAGGAACTTCCAGCCCTAAAGCTCATAGACTCTGAGCCATGGCAGTCAGGGGCAGTCAAGTAGGATGCTGGGGTGATTATAGCTTCCCTATCTGCTCAGACTCTGAGTTTGTCTTTACAAGGAAGGGCATAGAAGCATGAGTCTTGCTGTTTAAAAAATCCAACTCTAAGCATTGTAAAAACTGAAATGCCGTTTTGGAGTGGGGACCATATCTTTCAAACCACCCTTACGGAACACAGGGCCTGCTAATAAGCAAAGGCAGGAAGGTGCCCCCGGGGCTGGGGAGGAATTGGGAAGGACACAGCGTCCGTCCCTGGCTGCTCCTTTTCCGCCATCTATCGGCCATCCTTGGAGTTGCAAGGCCTATGACAGAAGGTTAGGCTATCAATCCCCAACTGCTGGAACCCCTGGAGTGGTTAGGGTGCAGAGAGGCGCCTGGTTAATTAAATGGTAACTGAACAAGGACAAAATTTCCCTCAAAGGGCTTTCTTTCAATCTGTTAAGTTTGCCTTGGTTTTCTTATCTGTAAAATGAGGATAAAGACACCTGCCCTCGGTTTCCTTGGATGGTGGGTAACAAAATGGCAGTTTCCTAGCACTTGTCCTTTTAAGAAAGGACATCTTCATTGGATTGGCCAACCCAAGAAGTTCATGCAAGGAGGATGGATTGGAGGGCAGGATGGGGACATTTTAGAATTGTTAAGAAATGCCAGCACTTTGTTGAGACTTTTTATTTCCATTTCTTCTTTGCCTTTCCCTTCCTCCATCCCTTCCTTCCAACCACAAAAACACTGGTTCCAAGAGTTTCTCAAGGGTTATGAAATAATACATGAAAACACTTTATAAACTGTGAAATGCTAGCACATATTATAGTTGTTATTAATGTTCCAGTAGTGTAGCCTGGTACAGAGAGGCCGAGACTTCATACAGATGGGGAGACCGAGCCTCCGGAGCATGTGACAGCAGGCGTGCAAGGGCCTTGGGAATGTTCTTCTTCGAGTCTTCTCTTGATAGTCACATCTCAGCTCAAACATCACCTTTTTAGGAAGATCTTGCCTGACTTCCTAGAACTAAAGAATCCTCTTTTTTATACCCAGCATTGATTTTAAACCACCAGTTTTTGTTTCCCATAGAATTTATCTTACCAAAATTATCTTATGTATGTAATCATATGCTGGTTTATTGCCAGATCCTGTAAGCTCTGGGAGAACAGAAGTTTGTCTGTCTTCTTCACTACTATACCTCCAGCACGTAGGACAAACAGTGCTTAGCCTGTAGTGAATGAATTAATGGGTGGATAGCCAAGTGGGTGGCTGGATGGATGGATGACGGAGTGTAAGGCCTCTCCCTCAGCCTCTGCCTAGTGGCCCTCCTGTGACTTCTCTGTGCTTCCTCCCCTTGCAGTGAGCATGGAGTTTGGGCGGGCTGTGTGGCTCCGGTTCCACCCGTCGGCCTACCCCCCATGTCCTCACCCGAGCTTCGTGGCGCACTTGGGTGGCGTGGCAGTGGGCATCACCCTGGGCGTGGTGGTCCTGAGGAACTATGAGCAGAGGCTGCAGGACCAGTCGCTGTGGTGGATTTTTGTGGCCATGTACACCATCTTTGTGCTGTTTGCTGTCTTCTGGAATATCTTTGCCTACACCCTGCTGGACTTAAAGCTGCCGCCACCCCCCTGAAGGGCTGGAGAACCATGGTGGGGGAAGGGAGAGAGAAGCAGCATCAGAAAGGAGCATCTATATTCCTTTTCTCATCACCAGCTCAGTGAGGCCGGGAGGAGAGGACAGGAGACGCTGGGCTATTATGATATTTGTGCTCAGGTTCGGACAGACAGTGGGGGCTCTTTTCTGAAAGGCACCTGCTGGAAGAGTTGGATGTGGCTATCGTTTTCTAGACTGTTCTGAAGATATCGGGCCAGGGCGAAGGCCTGGGGTGGGATGAAAGTGGCAATCCCCTTGGGCTGGGCTTGTTCCATGTGTTCAGTGGTCTCTTTCCTTGTCACAGATTGGGCAGCAGCCTCATCTTCTACCCTGAGAGACCCTAAGGATGTAAGGAAGGCCTGAGGATGTAGCAGCCAGGCAGGCCCTCGTCCAGCCCAGAGATAAGTGCAGGCCAGGAAATGTTCCCTCTAAAGCTGTTGAGTCTGGAGCCCTGGAGTGGGAGCAAGCCTGCTGCTGGTAGACATGCTGACTTTGGCCGGAGGGAGCCCAAGGTGCCCTCCTGTCCCTGAAAGTGGGCACTGGGGCATGGCCTCTAGTGCCTGGGGTTGGGCAGAGGAGGGAGGTTCCATACATTCAGGCCCCACCCTTGCCTTGGGGATACCCAGCAAGAGGAACCCAAGCAAGAGGGAATAAATTTCATCCCAAGTCCCACCAGGGCCCCAGCATCCCATGCCCTGCCTTGATTTTAAAGTCTTTTCCTTCCATTTCATCGCCCTGACCTTGCACGTGGAGACAACATTCTGACACGCGCGTGTATGCAGTTTGGTGGGCGGAGATGGAGATGCCTGTGTGATGGGGAAGATGATGCGAGGGTTCTGAGGCTGCGAGGACGCCCGTGAGGGCCAGTGGGGGTATGCGGAAGAGTCTGTGTGAGAGGAAGCTTGCCCTTGCTTTCCACCCCCGGTACCCCAAACCCCGTCCCTTCCAGGCCTCTCCCTGAGAATCACTGACCCGTGGGAGAGTTGTCCATGGTGGAGGGAGACCACATACCCTCCCAGGGCCACTCAGAATGCTGAGGTTTTCCTCGTCTTTGCCAAGTTCTGCTCTGTTTTCCCCTGGAGTAGCCTTCATATCTGAAAAGGTTTAGTTCTGTCTCCCTTAGGAGGAAAGGGGCTTTGGAGGTGCAGGAGAGGCTGGGGCAGGAATATTAAGGCCATGTGCCCCTTTGAGTCAGAGGAACAGGATTTTGCAGCAAAAGGAATTCCAATGTAGACAGAAAACTTCTTCTAGAGAGGAATTGTTGGGTGCTTGGATGAGCGTCAGAGGTGAGGACAGCACACAGACTCAGATGCTCAGGGCTGATTATCGGGTCCAATCCTACCCCCATTTCACAAGTGGGAAAACAAGGCCAAGGGAACGTCCCCTTGCAGGAGCTGGTGCAGCCCCAAGAGGAGGTGTGGAGAGGATGGCCTTTGACAAAACGTCATTCCTTTTATACTGCTCTTAGAACTCCCAACCAGTGATAGCCCAGAAGGATGAAGAGGCCAGGTCTGGGAGGCAGAGGGGCTGGGCTCATGCAGGAATGAGGGTAGGAGTATAGGAACTGCCTTCAGCCAGCCACGTGCCCATCAGAGACGTTATGTGCACAGAAGTCTGAAATCGGCCAGGCCAGGCATTTAAGAGTCTTGGGCCACTGTGGTTTACTGTCCCCAGTGATCACATGTAAATGGGCAGGGTCCTTCTACCCAGGGACACCACTCAGCCTAGGCTATGCCGGGCCCTTCCTTGTCTTTGCCCAATACCAAATAGATTGTCCTGGTCCCCACATGTAGCTTCTGAGGTCATGCCGCACTCGTGTCAACGCTGTACTGAGAACTACTAGCCCGAGGTGGCATCAGCCAGATCTCTGGCTGAGCTGCATCACCCTGAGGCATCTTGTGTGTGCCCGGCCAGGCATTCTCTGGCCTACTGAAAGAATGGCCTACTGGAAGAGTCAGCTTCTTAGCAGAGGAGACTCTGAGCTGGAACTGGGGGCCGAGAAAACTTGGGTAAAAATGAGGAAGGGGACTTTGGCCATGGGCTTCAACTACTGCTAAACCTGAGTAGGGATATTCCTTCCTGGAGAAGCAGAGGCAGCGGGTGCCTCGCTTGGAGGCAGGGCTTCCCCTCCAGATCTGGTCCTGGTACCTGGGGGTTCTGGGTTGTAGGTGGAAGGAGCGGAGAGCCACCACTGCCTTTGTCTGGCGTTTCCTGGAGAGGGGCGTTCCTCTCTCAGGATTGAGAAGACTGAACTAGAAGACTCTAGAAAGCCCTCAGAGAAGCATTCAGTTCCCTCAAGGCTTCAGACAGAAGTTTGTTACTGAGAAGGACTACCTGAGGTGGAAGTCCCATCTGCCATCCTGTTAACTCTGTCCTTCAAGGTCGGGAGCATGCTAAGAGAGCCTCGTCTACACCGCAGGCCGCCAGCCCCAGCTGCTCCCTGTCCGCAGAGTATCCAAAGGCAACCCCAAAATTCTTCGATCTGCTTAACGCCCACCTCCACTACCCTCTCCCAACTGTCACTTTCCAAGCAGGGCCACCCAGTGGTGACAACAGTCATGTCACACAACCCAGGTCTCCCACCCAGGGCTGGAGACAGTTGTCTGGTAAGAAAGGTTTTCTTTGTTAGTTTTCTTACTTTCTCCTCAGCAAGTCCCTTTGTTCCCTCGCTCCCAGGCCCCTGCCAGCA